AACAGCACAACACAACCGCGTTCGTCAAGGCACCTTTCGAACGTGCTGCAGCGCCCATTGACAGGATTTGTTGGGTGGACAATGCGACCAAGAAGTTGCCCGCAGATTTGCAAGCAGAACTGGAACTCTAATTGCGAGACGCTCCTAGCAATACATGGGGGGGCGCTCGAAAGACATATCCCTGATGTTATGACGACTGGGAAAGCTGGGCTAAGTAATTCCACCGCTACGAAACCGCCAGGAATTGAGGCACCTGGACAATAACCCTGTCGGGGATGAGGACCTTGCCCTTGAAGATCAGTTATTTCAGGGAACAACCGATGGTTTCGATGCAAGAATATGGGACGCCCCTCGAACGCGGAAGAAGGTGATTTAGAAAATGTGTCCATACACATAGAGGAGGACAATGTGTCAGATATCGAGATTATAGAATTCAGGCTGTACACAGAGCTATTCCCTATCTCAATCTTAGATATCTTTCTCCTAACGTGACCTAATTCGGCAGAGATGTCTTCCACGTTGACAGATGTATCTACTGTAGTAGATAGCACACCTCTTAACCTCCCGTCTCTTGCTTCGCCGCTATCTACTACTTCCCCAGGCCGCAATCCCCTCGTCGTTCTCGTCTTCCTCTCGTTCTGACTCCTGCTGCCTCGGTCTCACAACTTCCCACCCGTAGCCCTCCTTCCAATCCCCTGCTTCCCCTGACCTTGGACGAGATCCTCGATCTCGATCTCGCTCGTACACAGGATAAACGTGTCCTCCAACGCCGGGACCCGGTATTTCAAGTTCACGGCCTGGTAGTCTTCCGAAGCCAACATGTCAGCGAAGTGTAGTATTGAGGGATAGCTCGCCAGAGCGAATTCGTCCCACTTGCCGCCCGACTGTTCAGGCGGAGTCTGGTGCGTGATGTTGCCGACCAACTTGGCGTTGCCGCCGCGACGGGCGCCGATAGACTCGGCGAAGGCAGCGCCGTATTTCAGGTAGGACGGCTTCATGTCCTGCTTGAAGGCTAGCAGGTTGAGCATGGACAAGGGCGACTTTCCCGCCGTGGTGTGCGAGAACTGTTGGATCCACGACTGCAGGTCCACGCTGAGTTCGAGCGTCTGGGACGAAGTCCCCAACCGTGGATTGTCCAGCGAGCCGGTCAGTGCTGGCACCTCCGAGGCCGGTGGATGCAGCAGTTTATCGTTCCTCTGAGCAAAGTCGTTGGTCAAGCGGCTGGGGATCCCCGTCGAGCATGTCCAGTGGCACACTATCTTCTCCTTCACAGATGGGGGCAGGGCATCAGTGCCCAGGACGATGAGGAGCACATCCCATGGCTTTTTCGGGTGGAGGAGCGGGTCGGCATCGATCTTGGTCGGTCTGATGATCCAGCGAATCACTTTGGAGATTACCAGCGGTTGCAGAGACGAGGTCCTGACACTGTTGAGGAAGTCGGGTAGGGCAGTTGAAGGGGAGAGAGAAACAAGATGGATCGTCGCGAGAGGCATCGTCACAACCAATTTGTCCTACGCGCTGTATTAGAGGGGGAGAAGTCCCGATAGAGAGAAGAAGAGCAGAGAATAGACAATTACAGCGCCTGGAGTGTTAGCAACGTGAGAGGAAGAAGAAGTAAAACCACCTGGGCCATGTCGCAAGTCGGAATCTTTACCTTTGAAAATGCGATTACTCGATCATCCAAACTTTGGGACCTTTTCAGCCTCGGCCCATGAGCCAGAGCGTATTTTGGAGAAGCGAAGCCAAGTCCGATCAAGGCTATACAAGTGGGGATCACATCTAATCTTATCAAAGAATCTTTTTCAATTTCTCTCTGCGACTGCTCGAACTGGCAGCGGTTGAGCGCCTTCATCTTGCGATTATTTCGCCACACAACCAATATACTCTTGTCCTAGAATTCTCTCTTGTGAGAACTTGGATTGAATTCTTGTTTGTTGGCTCACACTCCCCGCATCAAAAAAGGACAAAAGGGCACAACAGCATCCAATTTTCGTCGCATTCTCATCTGTCCCAATCCCAGCGATGGCCTCTTCGGCAGGCCTGACACCTCTACCTACCTCGGTGCACCACTCTACCACCCGCCTGACACACTCTCAGGCACACTCTTTCCTCTCGGAATTCCTCGACCGCGCGGAAAATGACGCCGCATACAGACCGGACAGCACACTGACAGAGCGTGGGCCGCAGGCCCTGTCTAGTGGATCGACACCCAATTTGACGCTCAGTCACTTGAAGAGGATCTTGAGCGGGATGGAGGGGAAGCGGATCGGTGGGAGTCTTGGTCTGGAAGAGGAAGCGAAAGGAAAGAGTGAGAATACTGGAGACGACGAAGAGCTCGGAGGATTGGGAGAAGCGGAAGAAGGTCAAACACCGCGGAAGAGGGGGAGCCAGAAACGCGCACTGGACGAAGACGACGAAAACGAGGACCCGCAAGCCCCGGGATCCAAGAAGCAGAAACGCAAAATCATCTACTCGATCAACCAAGAAGGCGTCGAGGACCCGCAAGTCGGCGCTGAGGTTGAGGCCGAGGCGGCGCTAGACCAAGACCAAGGGGAGGACGACTGGCAAGATGCAGAGACGTATGCGCTCGCCCAGACTGAACTCCGCGAGTACGACACCGCCAAAGATGAACCTCAGCCCGAACTCGAGGTGGAAAACATCGACAATGAGCGGGACTCGGAAGAACCAGAAGCTGTAGAACATGACAATTCCAATGCAGCTGAGCAACAGACGCAGACGCAGATGACGGCAAGGAAACGTAAGCAGCGAGAAGTCGACGAAGATGCAGATGCAGATCGTGGAGCACAGAAGGCGAACAAAAAGAAAGCAAAGGACACAGGCACAGCCAAGCCAACGGCGACGGCGACGGCGACGAAAAGCAACCAAGAGGTGAGCAAAGAGGAGAGAAGAAAAATGAAGAAGATGCGGCGGAAGGATGAGAAGAAGGAGAGACAACGGGAGAGGGAAGAGAGGAATAAGAATCGGTAGAACCAGGAAGTGGCTGAGATGGACAATCGGGTTGGTTCAAGAACATACTCGGTCTGCTATACGAGCTGGGAAATCGAAGACGACGAGTCCTATGGAATCTATTCTCAAAACCCCCTATGTCCTTTCAACTCTCTTCTCAAGACACATGTTGTTCAGAGAAGCGGATGCTTAGGCATATGAGCTCACACAGACCTCGAAATACAATAGAAGGTCTCCTCCGTCCTCTTGATATGGAGGCACACGAAGCAAAAGCAATGAGAATGATGTTGATGTACATTGTGGCCATGGCTTATGAGCCCACATTCCCGAAAATACTTGATCAGCTCACATGAATATCCAGACAGGTGCAGCAAAGTTGACAAGAATGTCGCCGCGCTCATGGAAAGGCAAGACGTCGTTCTCACACACTCCAAGCATCTCACTCGATATTAACCCTTTCACCTGGTCTTCTTTCCCTCTCTTCCACTGCTTTGCCTTTTTACCGTGGGGCTGGAAGCTTCGCTCTCTTTCTTCTCGCGCTCTGCCTTCTCCTTGGCCTCGAACTCTTTCATGGCATTTTCGTCTGCCCGGTCTGCATACCATTGACCGAACTGCAACACCAACACGCCAACAAGCACCAGAGCCAGGATGGTATTACTAGCAGCCAACACCTTCAGGTTGTCCTCGCGTCCAAGAACGCTGTCGCCCGAGGTTACATCATATCCGCGCGAATTCACCTCATCAAGCTCGTCCTGTGATAACTTCTCCATGCCTAAACCGTAGGTGCCGTCATTGACAATCCTCAATCCCTTGACGATGTTCGCAATATACACAATCACCGCAACCATGTACAACACCAAACTGCCACCATCAAAGAGCAGGTTCGATTCGCTGGGTTTGTAAAGCTTGATAACAAGGCCCAAGATGCCAACGCCCAGCATTATGTGTAGAATGCGCACAATCAGATTCGGCGCATTGTGGAGAAGTTTCAGGTGTGCTTCGATGGCGTCAAAGTGAGAGGGTGGTGTGGGCAGTGAGGACCATAGAAGTGGGTAGTCGTAGGGGAAAAGAGAGAAGACGATGCCCAGGAAGAAGGAGACCGCTGCGTCACCAACATGTCAGCGCTCTCAAAGCGACCTGCGCCGGGGAAAATTTAGATTGGTCTTACGGCAGATGATGAGGAAAGTCGCAAACGAGACCGACGGCATCTTGGTGAATTGGTGGTCGCAAACTGGGACCAGTCGCACGGCAGGGTGAAGACGAATGAAGAGTTGAAGTTCAGTACAGGTTGGAAGCGGAACAGCCCAGCTGCCACTATGGTAGACAACGCTGTCAGGGTGTGTGTGAGCGGGTAATGTTCGTTGCTGTGTTTCAATGCGACGGAGCGGCAGAAGATGCGTGTCAATCTGCGGAACAGAGGGAAGACGATATGAGTAGAGACGCAATTAAACGTGCTCCAAGGCCACAGATTTATGCAGATACAGTCAAACGGAGAGCTGCGGCGGATTAGGAAGCAAGCGCACAGGTTGCACAGGAAATGCTCGACGGCCAAATCTACTGCAGGATGATGTTGCATTTGCTTTCTCGACAAACCGTCGTGAGCGATAACGATAAGGCTGCCAAGCCGGATGACTTGTTTCTCCGAAGTCCGATGGGTGTTTGTCTTCCAATGGCTTCCTCCATGACCATGCGACGTGGATACTTGACAATAACGACCTCAATCTACGTGCTGTTAGCCCTGTCTATGCCTTGGGTACCTCCCATGGCAAGGGCTGGGATCATGATTCGCCTGTCATCAACAAGCTGACCCAGGGTTTCTACCCTCTTTTTTTTCACACCAATTGGAAAGATCCACGCAGCAAGGTGTACTCGGTAAGGCTATCAAGGCTAAGTGAATGCACCATTGAGGCTGAGGCGAGTCGAACCTCGTTTCCCGTCTCAGCTTGAGTTGCATTTCTTTCTTCCTCCCACCACTCTCCCTCTTACTATTAGATTCAAGCCATACATGTCTTGTTTCGGAAACCGAATTTGATATGGAAGCTGTAGGATTTGCTGCATCTCTGTTGACCCTGGCGTCTACCCTCATCCAAGTCTCCACGGTCATAAGAGACTTGAGAAGGAATTACGGCGAATGTCCCCAGGCACTGATAAACCTAGCATCCGCCGTGGACGAGCTCGAACGCCTCATTACTTACGTGAAAAGCCTCGACGAGACGCGCCTCAAAGATCATGGAGACCTTGACAAGAGGCTTTTCGACGACTCCCAGGCTTTGGTGGATAAATGCAGGCAGGATCTATCTGGAATTCAACAAAAGTTGGGCCAACTCAGTCGTCCTGCAGAAAAGAGGTTTCGAACAAGACTGAACAAAGCCCTGAAGAGGCTGAATCATGACCGTGACATCGATAATTGGTGGCATCAAGTCTTGCACTATAACCAACTTTTCTCTGGCCTGTTGACGAGAATTGCGATGTACGGCTGCACACTGAACAAGGTCCATGACATTCTCTAACCCATGCAATAGGAACGAAAATCGCCTCAACTCGAATAGCCGCATTGGATCACTCGAAGATACATCCATGGCACAATTTGCTCAAGTTTCTTCTCATCTGGATGACGTCCAGTCGTCCACAGCACTACTGCCTTCAATGCACATGAACCTCCAATCCCAAAGGACAGTTGCGGATCGTATTGCAGGAAAACAGGAGGCGGGAGACCAAAGGATCCGTGCTATCCAGCAGGCTCTATCGCAATATGTTGTCGATTCTGTCCAACATCGTCAAACGGCTCTGACAGCACTTTCCGAGATTCACTCGAAGTTTGATGACCTACGAGGAAATGTAGCACAAACATTGCGCATGTCACGAGAGGACCAGAATATATTGAGTGATATCTGTGTAGGTATCAAAGAGTTGCAACGTAACGTGGATGACCTTGACTGGAAGTTCTCGAGATGCGAGAATGCCGAACAGAATACGAAATCGCGACAAGCCTCCTCTTCAATTCTCCAGATGAACGATACCTTTGCAGCCAGCTTCCTTCGCCTCATTCAACTGACTGAGCAATCCATAACTAACATATCATCGATGACCCTCAAGGCCACCGTCAGAGATCTAGTGCAGATCTTGGATTACATGAAAAAATTGACACAAACAGGCACCGGCCTTCCCGGGTTGGCAATCAGTGGACGGGACTTAGATGACCTTGAAGTTATGCGAAGCATTTTTCAGCTGACACAGAAATTGGAACTTGTAAATTCTAGTGGTCAGTTCACAATATGACCTCATGTCTTCCACATTGCTATGTGATAAGCAGAATCACTAACGCAGCGAAGGACCAGGGGAGAGTCCCTTAGACAAGGCTGAGCGCAACCCTTTCCAGCCACCGAGTCTCACCACAGTTCCAGCACCGAATGTCCGAACATTGGTAAGGACGCGGTTTGCAACCCTAGAAACAGCCATAGGGCGTCTCGATCTACTTATCAAACTGTCAAAATCATATGCAGGCGATTATGATGCCCCAGGAAACGTCTCCGAAAGCAGATTTCTTGCCAAGGTGTCGCTTCTACCATGGGCAATTCTTGCACAAAAGACTCTGGTTACATTCCAGTGCGAGCAGCTCTGTTGCCTGGGGCAAAGCATTCTGAAGCCAGCGGGTCTGTCAATCAAAGCAATCAGGAAGAGCGATTCGCGAGTATTCCGTATTGCAGAATCTGGGTCTCCGGACGAAATGGCAAGGCTCCTCGCGAGTGGAGAAGCCGCAATCACAGACTGCGATGAATATGGTTGCTCTCTGCTTGGTGTAAGTCAGAAACGAACTATTGTATATGGCGCTGACATTGTAAGTATGCTCTGTCTAGGATCAATCCAAGGATGGTCAAATTCCTGATCGCCTGTGGCGCAGATGTCGATGCATTCGAACCACTACGTGTGGACGGAAAAAAAAGGCGCCCATGGGGGTTTGCGTAAGTCAAACCAGGTTTCATAATACCACCTTAGTTGACTGTCGTCATGACCTATGTGTCTCTGGGAACAGGGTTGGACACTAACGTTTCAATTGCAGCTCGGTTGCTATACAGGGAACGTTCGTTGCGGACCGTTGTTCTTCGACCGAGGACCGCCTCTCCTATGAGAGCCTGAAAGCTGTAGCACAAGCAGGGGCCGACCTTTCTGGCAATTTTGAGCAAGATGGTAATGTGCCTCTTCTATCAATGTCGTTATTGGTGTCGTTGAGGGTGAGTGATGCGCGACTATTGTGCTAGACCGAGAGAGGAGAGAATGCTCACTTAGGATAGCAAACCTTCCAGTTGATGTTCGACCTTATTGAGCCGCTTATAACCCCCGACCCAACAATGGGCTCGCCGTTGGGTCCTCTGGAGTTACTGACAAGTGTCGGTTTTGAAAAGTGCACGACGGAAACGGCCTCCAAAATCGCGTTTCTGCTCCCAGGAGGAGCTGATCCGTATTTCCGCAATGGAAGGGGAGAAAGTTACCTTCATCAGATACTCGTAGCGAGAGCCAGGTACTCTGGAACGATGTACGAAAGCCTCGTCACCAAAGCGCACGATGGGCAGTTGAAGGATGTGCTAATGCTTCTGGTCACGGCTGGTGCGGATGTTTTTGCGGTGAACCGTTCAGGGGAGAGCGTTTCAGACGTGGCAATCAAGTTAGGATACAGTGCCGAGTGGAAGGAAACTCTGGAGGAGTGCGGCTACGATGTATCAAACGTTCTCAACCACAGCGATGAGCATGATGAGGTCCCTCGCCAGCACCAGCAGCGCCATTTACTCACATTCGCCGAGTATCTCCAAGTGAGAAAGTCGAGGCTACTCAACCTCGAGGTTGGAGAGGACGAAACCCCACAGGAAGTCTACAGAAGATATTACAGAACGGCTGTACCAAAACATTTGCGCATTAAAGAGATGGACAGCAGCGATAGCAGTGACAGCGAGGAGGAAGACGATGAGGACGACTTTGGCGAGCAAACCGACCGCAACTCTGACGCCGAAAGCTTCCACACGACAATGGAATCGGCCAACGAAGGCACTTGATTGAGCGGAAGAGCATCAGCAATAGGTAATGCTTCCTAGCAAGTAGGTCGTTGTTGATATGGTGTCTGCATGAACGTGATGAAAAGAAAACGGGTCAACCTTAGCACTTCGAGTGCTTTCCAGATTAGAAACAACACACACAAGCGCAACACACTGAGTATAGACGCAACACAGACATATGGCGCATGAAGCAGCACACCCATCAAAGCGGCGGGGTCTCTACCTTTTTGGCACGGGGGTCTCTCCCAGCCTGCTCAAGTTGGGAGGATGTGTCCATGTCAAAGGAAAAAGCTTTGTTCCCCAGCCACACACCTCTTGCTTGCGATGGCTCTCCGGACCATTCGATCCGGCACGGCGGCACTGCCGTTGAAACCGGGAGGAACAAAAGCAAACACGGCTGCGGTTCGGGAAATGACACGAGTCTCTGCACACTAGAGTCCAGCAGTCACACTCTTTTCCAGCATCACAGCGGGGCTAATGTCCGGGAAGTGGATTCGGGTGCAGCATGCGAAGATCTCTCGGCTTGGGCTCAGTGACCCAGGTCACCAGGTCTCCGATCGCCAGCGTGAAATCTGATCAGTCGGGCTTCCGGGGGGGGAGACGAGACATTGGCATGGCGTGCAGAAGGCACACCTTGTACGAGTAAGCACACAGGACAAATTGAGGCCAGGCTTAAAGCACAATAGCTTGTACTGTTGGCGAAGGCTTTTGGGAGGGGTAGTGTGGAGTGGTAAGCGCGCTTCAATCGGCTTTTGATATGGTCATCGGGGGAGAAGGGGAAGAAGTTGTCACCTCCAAAGAGGTCATGCAGGCCGCGCCGCTTGTATGCAGAATATCGATAGTTTGGGCGATCTGGCAGCTGGCACGAGCGACTGCGGCAGCCCTCGGCCGCAGTCTGCATGCGTAGAGATATATTCGTTTGTAGTCAATAGATACGAGTTGTTTATGCGGGTGGACCCCGCGTCCAGACTGGTCAAGGCTGGTCACACATGGCTCTACGAGGAACTAACTAATTCTGAGGACACGGCCCCCTTCCACCTACTATCGGTATGGTGGATTCGAGCACATGTTCCGCGTTGGAGTGGGAGCGATTGGTCGAGGAGTGCGGCACACCTAGATACGCATATCCGTGCTCCTGTGCAGAGAGCGAGAGAGCGAGGGAGCGAGGGACGAAGGGATCCGGTGTCCAGGGTGCGACAGGAAGGTGGGGGAAGTGGTTACGAGTGCTCATATGCATACATACACATGTCGGGAGATCCCAATCCAGAGGCGGAGAGGAAACAAGGACAAGTACCAAGTAGTGGAGCGCTCGGTTGGATGGTTGGATGGCTGGATAGATGGATACGTGGAAAGGAATCATCTCCCCGAACTAGTCTTTATTGCTTCATGCAGACACACACACACAACACACACACAGTTTTGACAAAGGCTTTGATCTCTTAGCTTATACAAGTACACAGGTGGGGAAGAACGGATTCGGATACGAGTAACCGGTACGTAGGCCTGTCTGTGATGTGACCACTAACCATTCACTTGTTGGATGCCATGCTCGCGCTGCTCGAGATTGATCATCTACGAGTAGCGGCTAATAATGGCTAATATGCATCATTTGGGTTCTCTCACCCTCGCTCTCACTCCCACTCTCTTTCACATCTGGGTCTGTTTTCCCCTCTACGACTATGAGTATTGTCCAGGGCGTAAAACCAGCCAATTTCACCAATGCTGCACCATCTCGTGGGGTAAATGATTCTGCTAACTATGTCCTGGTAGGTAGTACCCAACGGTAGCAGGTAGGGGAAAAAAAGCCACAATTTAAGCGCCCGCCCCCTTCCTTCACTTTCCTTGCCTTGCCTTCTCCCCCAGTATCCCCAAGTCCAGGCAAAAGTCCGCCGAGGCTCCGATCCTTTTCCCTTTCATTACTCTGGGGACTTGGGAGGTATCGTCTATTGGCTGAGCGTTGTCCATTTTTGGATTGTGGAGGAGGAGAGGCATGCAGATGGGATGCATGGAGAGGTCTGAAGAGTAGTAGGTAGTAGTAGGTAAGTGAGAAGAAGCAAGGCAAGGGCAATTAAGCAACCTAAAAATAACGATCCGGGTGCCTCCTTCCATCAGTGGTCTGAGCCAATCACACCGTTTTTGAATTGACCGGTGTAAATCAGGTTCAGGTGGGGAATTTGGAGTGATAGGCCACGAGCGCTCGAGTAGGCGCCGGACCCAGAAAACAAGCCTTCCTCCACTCCTGGACTGTGAACGAATAAACAATTCTCCTGCCACTAGCGCAGTTCCAGCGTTGCGGTAACAGCGGGGCGGCCGGGCTCCTCCCGTGTCTCACCATCCAATCGACGCGGGTTCGAAGCACGCTAGAAGAAACTTGGGAGTTTGTCTGGAAATTTTACTCGTGTCCTTCTCTTCTTCGTAGGTAAGGGTAGGGTACTACTGACTTTTGTTGATCCCTGGCACACCTTACAGAGGGAGGGTGCGTTGGCAATTTTGAAGAGTCGAAAAAGTCAAATCAGGCGAGAAAAAGTCAAAAGGAGGCACACTAACAACTATTACTCCAGAGAGGTAAGAGATGGGAGGGAAGGGGGGGTGATGTCAGCGCCCGCCGCCAAACCCGATGTCTCTTTTCTCGCTGCTTTTGTTATTCCCCCCTCCCTCCTTTTTCTCGCTCCCCTACCTGCTGCATCTCCAGACTCAGGAGGAAAAGGGAAAGATTCGTGTCCCCCCCTAATAATTGACCCCGTCGCTCGCTCGCTCTTCACTACTATTGTAGGTACCTTCCGCTGTGATGTCTGCGGGCGAGATACTTGTTCATCAACAGCCCCCTGCATAGGGGCTGGGCCAAGGACACCCCAAGGTGGCATAGAGCTCCGAGCCATCTCTCCTTCTGCAGTTGACCATTACCCCTGAGAATCTCCCTTGCATCCTCGAGGCAGTCATGTTCACTTGTCTAGGTCATAGATAAAATGGCCCTTTTGTCAGTCTAGATTTGTGTGGTTTGTGGGGGACTTTTCTTCACAAACAAAAGTACAGACGGACATGTCCAAGGAATCCCCTTCTTGGTACAAAGTCCCTTTTCATCACCGCCCCCTCGACTGGCCGACCATCCGTTGAGGCTCGCGGCTATCCTACCAATGGGGATATGAAAACGGCCTTTTTCTGGCTGACTCTGACCTAGGGATTTCATGGATGTTATACATAGTATACTCGTACAGAGCTCGATAGCCCCTCCAGTTGCTTCTTCTCAAGGCTTTCCCTACGTAATCCCGTAACCACCCTCAACGAATCGAACTGCTTCCACACCCCAAGCCGCCCAGGTGGATCGGTGATCGAGCAGCAGTCGTGGCCCACTCATATTGCGAGCACTCGGTCATGACTGGCGGCGGCTGGAGATCCTCATGCCACGTTTTCTCCCGAAGCCTATTTTGCGTCCATGGCCCCCAGAAGGCCGCAATGCTGGACGCGCACTGGCCGACAACAATAGACTCGGTCCTGTAAACTTTTTCAACATAGTTTCATTTATTGGTTGGTTTGCGTTTTGCTTCCCAAGTGTGCGGGAAAGAACATGGCTTGTTCGGCTTCCGCATCAAGACTCTTGCGAATCTCTGTGAGCCCTTGCCCTGCTCTGACCGCAGAATCCGGCTGCGGAGTCAAAAATGGGTGTCCCACCAAAAATCCTTCAGTGCTTTTCAGAGTTCCGCCTCGTAACCACCCTTCCGAATCGAAAGTCTCGTAAAAATAATCCCAGCAAAGCCTGCCATATCCCATTCGTGCATTGCTTGTAAGATACCGAATGCGTGCTTCAATGTTTCGTCTCAACTCCTCGAGTTCGGTTCGTTGGTTTGCGGTTTCTTAACGCCGAGCACCTTCGCAGAATCATGTAGTGTGGTATCACGTATAATAAAATCGATAGCAAAGTATGTCGTAAAACCCGTGATATTCCTTTTTCGGAGGATGTCACAGAGATCAATGCGTCTTCAGTGAAACCTCTGCGAAATTCCATTAAATGTGCCATCACCCCATGGCCGATGTGTGAATGACCACGTTATGCGACGGCAGTCGTGGGGGGACTGACCACCGCCGGACTAGGGCTGGCCGATGCAGAAGGGGAACTGATGGCACTTGTTTGTGAGTCGATCAGAGTTGAAGGGAAGTCAATAGCCTTGATGCCAGCAAAGTCTTTCGAGGAGGGTGGTGGCGGCATGTCACTGGCGTCGGTTTTGCGCTTCTTTCCCTTGGGCGCCGGGTCGAGGGGCGGCGACCGCTTGTATGTCACTGTCCTCGTCACAACAGATCGGACATTGACCGACTTTGGACATGCACTCCTTGGCGCCTCGAAATACCGCCGTGTCGCGCTCTCACAATTCCAGTCAGCTGGCGAGAATGGAGAGTAGACGCCGCCAGTACTCATGCCGCTCATGGCGGTCCGCGGAGAAGGCCCAGCGGTGGATGGAGAAAAGGCTGGAGAATGTGGAATCCGCAGCCGCCTCAAGTGAGTAGGAGTTTTGCGAGCGTACGGAGTCGGTGGGACGGAACTGGATGGCGACTTGTGGCTTTCGCTTTTGCTGGAGAAAAGACTGGAAGAGGTAGACGCGTTGGACATCAAGGAGTGTCTGGTGCATGTCGACTCGTCCGACAACGACCTCTGCAGACCGCTGCTCACTGGAGGACTGGCCAGGACAGGAGTCAGAGCCTTGAGGAACTCGGTGTAGGCAACGGGCGGTGTAATGGGAGTGCTCAGACTCGCATTCTCTTGCTTGACCACGGCGGAGACGCATGAAATCGGTGTCGCAACAATCTCGGAGGGGAACGAGGCCGTCTTGGGGGTTTGAAGAGGAGGAAGGACTGGTCTGGTTACCGCGGGCATCTTGACGTCGACAACGAGAGAGTCGGTCGTGGAAACCCTTGCTGGTTGATGCTGGCGTGCAATGAAAAGGTAGTTGACGGTCGAGGGCCCGACGGACACCAGCGTAGGGAGGAGAGGATCGTGCCGTGAAGAAGAGAAGGGAGGGAGAGAGGCGCACGGGGACGAGCAGGTCAGGCAACGAGGAGAAAAAGGGCAATCTATTTCTGGGCGAGGGCAGCTTGCACAGCAGCGCCAACTCTTCTTGCAGTGGTACACAAATCCTGACCAGGATGAGGCCAGCTCTGTCACCGGAGCGTGTCCCAGGTGCAGTAGTCCTGTTGTTCGCTGGGTGGTAGTGAAGGAGCTATGACTGGAGGTCTCGTTGGCGCGTAACAGAAGGGTATCCGTGAGAGGGACTGGCGCGGGAGGGGTTGGTGCGAGGGTTGATTGTTTGGCAAGGAGAGTGGATGACTTTGAGGTGCCTGATGACAGTTTTGACGCTTGACCCGACTCCAGGTGGGCCGTTCGCAAGAAGTGGGAATGGTTGGATAGAGAGATGAAAGAGATGGGGAGGCCCGTCACTGGGTGGGCAGATCGATATGGGCGGGCGTTAAAACAGCGAGAGAAGGTACCCTGTTGCCGCCCGGCGGCAAAAAGTGGAGCCGGGGCGGGTGGAGTCCGACAAGGGGAGGCCCAGCGACTGGTAGCGTTGAAGGGGTTGATGGTGTTGATTGGTGCTCGACTCAGCCAGCTCTTTCACTGAGGAGCAATGCTGATTCGATGGGGTTCCCTGTAGCTGTGACTTGCCAGCAAGACTGCAGCCGACCAGCTGAATGTTTGATTCTCGTTTTTCTGCCTGTGCGTCTTCTCGCCCGTCAATTCTAGTGGTCGGCGTTGTGGTCTTGCGGTCAGCTCGCTGTGTTGTGACTTGATAGGGCCGAGCTGAGAGTCCAGATGGCCTTGAGGCTTGCCTGCCGTGTTCCGTGGTAGAAGTTTGTTGTTGACGGTGCTTCTGCAGGAAGCCCACTGTGCCTCACTAAGAAATGGAGGTCAAGATGGAAAGAGAGTACGAGGAGGTCAGTGGTCTCTTCCTTCCATCTTGCACTGGGCCTCGATTTTATCTATTACCCTGTCAAGCCGCTGACCACCTGGCCGTCCCAGTTACTCGGGACTGTTGCCAGGCTCGCTGGCTGCTCTACACTTTCGGTCGTGTTGATGATTCGTTCCAGCTTCGAAGCATACAAGAAGGCTGACTGGTCAGCTTTTGTAGCCTTGAGCGCGCGGCATCTCCCTCAAATGATCGTGTTATTGATCTCAGTTGGGCGCTATAACACGTCCACTCACTGACTGGTCAGCTCAAATTCTTCTATCCCGTCCCGTGCGAATACCTCGTACCGGAGCGCGCGCAATTCCTTCGGCATCCAATGGCTCCAATCTGAACATTGCGCATTGAAGCAAGTTACGGTTGTCTCAGATAGTCATATCTACTTCGTCCAATCAGCCTGTCGCCTGCCTGAGGGAGGATTCCGGTCTCGTGGAAGCCGCTGCAGATCTGTGATCAAATTCAAGAGCTGAACGTGTCAAGGTCTTGATTTGTGTGTTTCGTTTGAACAAAGATGTCATGCTCCTCTCCACTGGTGTAGGATGCAAGATGGGCTTTCTGAACACTTGCCACTACAACCTCTTTCTCGGCTGGATCGACGAACCATGGGTTCGTTACCCTGGTTCCGGAAGAAGCGGCTCTGGAGGTGGACCAATCAAGATGCAGAGCTGCAGCCTCCTCGAGGGAACACTCGCATAACTCGTAAGGCGCAGTGCTGGAGGTGTGGAGAGCTGAGCCCATGACTTGCAGAAAGCCTACATGTGGATATCGTTAAGAGACTCTTAAGTGGCATTGCGACGTCTGTCATTGGTATGCTTCACGGGCTACGTTGCGAAAGATATACACCCTTGGTGCCCTCTCTCCATGCTTGTACGTCAGCGAAGTCCAAGGCTCCAACTGCTCCATTGAGCCAGTGTCTGGCCCCGGAAAGTCAATGCTGGATACGTCGTCATCGCGGGATCAAACCCTTCTGGACTTGTGGCTTTTACGAGGTCGTCTCTCCGCTCACTAGGCAACTGCTACAATGAGCTCTCGGTCTTGTGATGGCCTAGACCTTTTCTCCTCCCTCCAACATGCGAGTGGACGCCGAATGAATCCTTCCACAATCCCTCATCACTCCGTTCCATATCTTCTCGGTGAGCCTGTGTTCCAAATCAATTTGTTTTTCACAAGGAATCCCAGGATCCTTAACCGCCCATTCCCCTTTACACGTGGACGTATCGGCATTCTTCGACAGCATTAGATTTGGGTTTGTCGACTTGCCAATTGGCATGGATTAAACCGCCTAGAACAAGTTCGTTGCATCCTGGCGACGTCAGCCCGCCCTGACTAGGAAATTGGAGCTTCTATCTCTTTCGGCCTTTGTATCTCCGCAAGCGCTACGTCCAGCTGCCACCCTTCGAATCAGAAAACGACAACTCCACAGGTTTGCTGACGTCAGTACAATATCTCGGAGGCAGATATAGTGTGACTAAATGGACAGCCCCTTTGTGACTTCTGCCGCATATCAGGCTTGCTGGCGCTTATATGTGACGAGGCTGAGCCTGTTGACCACCAAGAAAGGAGTATCCTAACATTTTACTTCTACGAATTTCATATGTCTGTGGCCACGAGCTGAGCCGCCCACTGAAATCGGCAGCGTTCCAGCAATGTTGTCTTCGAGCCCTGGATTTGATTTTGGCTTCAGATGCCTCGTCCTTGGATCATGGGCCAGATGCTGCCTGGTGACGAGGTATGCAAACAGGCATCTCACCAATCGCAAAGAACTGAGATAGGGATTCATCTCCGAAGCTGCAATTCCGTTCCTCCTGGTTCTGCGCAGAACACGACAACACAGTCATCTTTCCAACAGAGTATCCTTGCTTATCTGCCTAGTCAACCGATTGAGAGAAGGTTTCGGAGGAGTTGCAAGAATGACCAAAGCATGGCTAGTCATAGCCACGAGGGTTCAGGCAATCAAATTGTCGGGTCCACACTTTCAGACGTCTCAATACCAAAGAGCTGTAGGTTGACAAATGGATCCCAACAGGTTTTCATGAGGGCTCTGCAGGCAGCCCTCGAGGAGCACCAAACGGCCCTGTCTTCCTGGCAGCCATGTATAGAAATGAGCATGTTCTTTCTCTCTACAAGAAATGAAGTTAGTGTATTGTACCTGCATGTAAGAGGCCATTTTGGGATAGTACCAAGCTCGTTTCTTCATCCATTACCAATCATCGCTAGTATGTAGCTCGTCTACGTCCATCTACTTTACATTCCGAGTCCGTACTCTACTCAGATGAGCAGCTCCTACCTTTGCATTTCTCTCTTTTTCTCTCAGATAAGTGTCGTATATGGTGATGACGAATGGCGGTTAAAGAGCCTCTCAAGTCTTGTACTCGGTACTCACCCCGGAGAACCGGACACCGGACATCGGACAAGGCTGCGGTGGATCCTCAGGGTTTGTTGAATGCCGAGCCGACACAACAATTGCACCGACAAGGTCCCCCTCCCCCACCAATCAACCCTTTCTGAATTGCTCCTGCTCCGTCCCTCGGCGAGGGCTAATATCGATCCTGCTCAACATCCCGAACAGAAACATTGCCATCCAGTTTACTGTTGTGTGCATCGCAGGATGGAGTTGGCAACAATGAGTCGCTGCGTGGCTCGCAGAGCTACGAAGAAAGTCTCCTCAGCTCGTTTCTACAGCATCGTGCATGATGTCCCACGAGTCGCTGCCAGTCTCAGCCAGAGCCATCCTCCACCACAGCCTCAAAGCCAGTCGGTATTCGAGCAAGCTGTCAATGCCACTGGTCCGCGCAACAACTGGACCAAAGAGGAGATTTCTCAGATTCACCAGACCCCTCTGATGGAACTGGCCTTCGCCGCAGTACGTGGATCCGTTGTCTAGAATTCCCCTTACTAAGAGAACTTGCAGGGCACTGTACACCGTCGATTTCACAAGCCCTCGGCTGTCCAACTATGCACCCTCATGAACATCAAGACTGGTGGGTGTACAGAAGACTGCTCGTACTGCGCCCAGTCGTCCCGCTACAAGACAAACCTTCAAGCCACCAGACTCTCCGCGGTCGACTCCGTCATTGAGGCAGCAAAAGTCGCCAAAGCGAATGGCTCCAACAGATTCTGCATGGGCGCTGCTTGGCGCGACATGCGTGGTCGGACTCGGGGAATGAAGAATATTGTGGAAATGGTCAAAGGTGTTCGGGCCCTGGGTATGGAAGCCTGCGTCACCCTCGGCATGCTTGACAAGCAACAAGCTCGTGAGTTGAAGGAGGCCGGCTTAACAGCTTACAATCATAACCTGGATACCTCACGAGAGCATTATCCCAACGTCATCACCACACGTTCTTACGACGAACGATTGCAAACACTGGAAAATGTACGCGAAGCCGGCATACACGTCTGCAGTGGGGGTATTCTCGGTTTAGGAGAGACGCCTGCAACTGACCATGTTGGCTTGATCCACACCCTCGCCACTCTCCCAGCACACCCTGAATCTTTCCCCGTGAACAAGCTGGTGCCCATCAAAGGCACGCCAATGTTCGGCCAAGAACCGGTTAAATTGGAAGACATGGTCCGTTGTATTGCCACCGCTCGCCTGGTCATGCCGCGAACCATCATTCGTATTGCAGCCGGAAGGGTCACTATGCCTGAGAGTGAGCAAATGCTGTGTTTCATGGCGGGCGCGAACGCGATTTTCACGGGCGAAAAGATGTTGACGACGGATTGCAACGGGTGGGAGCAGGATAAGGATATGTTTGAGCGCTGGGGGCTGTCGCCCATGCAGACCGAGGCGAGTAAACTGGTCGAGGTTGCAGAGGAACCCAAGTTCGAGGCAAGCAGTTTCGCCCACTTGAAGAGCGACGGTGTGGTGGCACAAAAGGGAGCGGAGGTATGAATACGGGGTTCTGATATAGAATAAACTTGTGCATACAATAAAATAGCTTTACAAGCCGACTTTCGGGTACTCCAATACAGAGTTGATAAGTTGTGAATTTACTGTGTACAACTCATTCCACGGCTCTTTCGTCTGATTTATATGGACAACGCTTTCGACTTATGAGCCAAACACCAGACTCGAAGCTCAGACTTAAGCACAATACCAAGTCGAGAACGTAATCTGACCACCTAGATTGGAATTGTCTTTCTCATTTCGCTCCCTCTCATTCCGCTTCCTCGCATCTCGCCTCTCTCGGCAAAAATACACACAGAGCTGGCTCGCTCAACAAACTTGCGCGTTATGGCACCACATACCTGGACAAGAGTTCACCAAGTCAGATCGCTCCTCCTCTTCAGCTTCCGCCGTTTTAGAACCTCCTGTCCTCCTTTAGATCTCAGCCGCGAGAGATAGCCGTGCCGACGTTTCTGGACACGTCTTGAGGGACTGTATGTGTCGCTTCTCCTTCTATAACCGAGGAGGGTGGGTGTTGTGGAGAAGGAACGGCATAAAATCTTTGACAGCTGCGACTGTAGCGGTGATGAAAACGATGAGGGTGCGATTAAAGGCGAAGGAGATGATCTCAGAGGTGATACACTTGAAGTGCGGAGTGAAAGGTTGCTGAATGCACGGGCAAGGAGAGATGTTGAGTTTGGAGCGTATGTAACCCCGGAGAAGCTCGTGATTGACCTTGAAGGTATCCGTCTAACTGTAGTGAACGCTCTTGATTGGCAATAGTTAGTGCTTCGTCACAGAAGATGTTGCGATCATGTTGAGCTCACCTTCGACTCGGCACCCGGTGCACCTTCACCCTTGATGGCATACTGTCAAAGATGCATTTGACCACGCGGCCACAGATTCGGCACATTGTGATCTCGACAATGGCTTGTAGTCACAGTCCAGAGTAGGGCTGCTCTGAACAAACAAAGAGAGTGATCCAGAGTTTCTGCATGCAGCCTTGCTCAAGGTTGTGATTTGCGCCGAATGCTCGCCGCACTTTCCCGTTCAAGTTGAGCCAACGAGGCCCTCGGTGAAGACACATGTTCGTGCGACTTGACCTGCCTTGCCTGTTTGCCTGTCTCGCTGCGTGTCAACTTGCGTTCATATATCGAATCGCATTACATGCATTCGTCTTTCATTGCTCCTGACTAAACCGCAGGAGGACAATGGCTTCTCTCCTCCAACTCCTCGGCGACTTCCCTCGTGTTCGTTTGTCCAATGCCCCTTCCCTGCCACTTAATCCCCCCTCACTAATCCTTGTGTTATCAACAGCGCCTAGCGGTCTTTCTTGACCGCCCAGGATTCCCATGGAAGAAACTGATTCTTGGATTCTCCCTGGGTCAATATGTGCTCGAAGGTCTTCTCTCGTTGAGGCAGTATAAGGTGCTGCAAAAGACGAAGCCCCCGAAGACGCTCGAAGACGAAATCTCTCAGGATGTCTTCGACCAGAGTCAGGTACATGCGCGGCCTCTTTGACTATCTTGTCTCCATGCTCAAGTTCGCTGACTGCTGTCCCCAGGCATACGGTCGCGCAAAGGCGAAATTTGGCTTCATCTCCGGCCTCTACTCCCAGATCCAAAACGTCCTCTTCATTCAATACGATGTCTTGCCGAAGCTCTGGTCATTGACAGGTCTCTTGCTTGCCCGCTATTTTCCCAGTCGTTTCTCTGGCGAGATTTCCCACTCGGTACTCTTCTTCTTGACCTTCAATGTCATCTCACAGATCTTGTCGCTTCCACCTTCATACTATAGCACATTTGTTTTAGAAGAGAAGTTCGGTTTCAACAAACAAACTATCAAGTTATGGATCACGGATATGCTCAAAGGCCAGGCATTGATGGTTGCACTGGGGACGCCGCTACTCAGTGCCTTTCTCAAGATCATCCAGGTGACGGGCACAAGATTCTTCTACTATCTCTGGCTCTTTGGGATTGTCGTGCAACTCTTCGCGATCACCATCTATCCGATCTTCATCCTCCCGCTTTTCAACAAGCTATCTCCTCTCGAACCTGGAGAACTCAAGTCTGGAGTGGAGGCATTGGCGCAACGGCTCAAGTTCCCCCTGAAGTCTCTGTACGTCATTGATGGAAGCAAACGGAGTGCGCATAGCAATGCCTACTTCTTTGGGCTTCCGTGGAAGAAACACATAGTTATTTACGATACCTTGATCGAAAAGAGCGAACCGCAAGAAGTAGTGGCAGTACTAGGTCACGAGCTAGGACATTGGAGTTTGTCACACACTACGAAACTGTTCGCCATCGCACAGGTATGTTTGTCGCTTCCTCCCCAAACCCTCAGCTGACTGGTGTCTAGTTCCATATGTTCTATATCTTTGCGCTTTTCAGTGTCTTCATCGACAACAACTCGCTTTACTCCTCTTTTGGTTTCCACGACTCACATCCCATCATCATTGGTTTCATCTTGTTCTCCGACGCCCTTGCTCCAATGGACGCCGTGGTGAAGCTTTTGATGAACGTTCTCTCTCGAAAATTTGAATTCGAAGCCGACGCATTTGCCACTAAACTGGGATATGAGAAGGAATTGGCAAGGAGTCTGATCAAGTTGCAAGTGCAAAATCTGAGTACTATGGATGCGGACTGGATGTACGCGAGCTATCATTACAGTCATCCCATTCTGGCGGAGAGACTGGCTGCGCTGGGTTGGAAGAGTTCGAAGTCGTCAGCAGCGAATGGCAAGGTTGTTGAGTTGGATGAAAAAGTTGCCGATGCGGGTGTGGTCAAGGCGAGCCAGAGAGAGCTGTGAATGCCCCTTTTGTCCCAGGTTTTGTTTGACGGCGCACTCTTCTCTTTCGCCCCATTCGCCTTTCCCGTCAATATTTGACGTCTTACAATTACGGCCACGGCCTTGAAGAAGCTGGAATGCGAGAGGGCATCCATGCAGAAAGCACACTTGGCTTTTGGTTTGTCAAGGGACAGGCAAATAGGAGGCCACGGACTGAAATTGCTAGATAGTGCTGAGCATCGACTTTTGGCTCCTTTCAGGTCAGCATGTTGCGGTTGCGAATATGTCTATGGTCGCATACAGCGATAGAGCACAACGGCGTCGATTGAAGTCACCTTGAGGGCATCCCTGGTCTCCTAGCAATTCAACGCCGCGGAAGAAGAGGTGGACTGGAGTCACAAATCAGATGGCATATGCCACCAAACTATGGCCCTCAGCCATTCTTATTCACAGCACCCGCAGGGTCACATAGACATGGTGGTCCTGCAGCCGCGATGTCGGGCATTGAGACAGCGAGCAGAGCTCCATTCCCACACCCTATCAATTGTTTAATGAAGGCACTCCAGTCGATAGGCTCCATGACAGCAGAATGGCCTGCAAACATTCCAGGATTGGCGTTTGGGTGGCCATATTGGCAAAGTTATGGTGAAGGGAAAGACGGAGTTGTTTGCAATGTCCCCGAAATCCGGATGACTCTTTAGAAATATGTAGCGCCTTAAATGTCGTGTACATCGATGAATATATCAGAGCTTGTATCGAGAAGAGGCAGTTGGGCAGCACCTAAATGTATCCTGGCTCTTTAGTTGTGTTGAGCGAATCCTCCGAATCAGGCTCCTTATGATTGGCTGAACCATCCAGGAACAGGCGGGCCAGGCTTGCCTCACAGCACCATACAAAACCCCATACGCTGCGATGCCTTTTCTCCCCTCTCCGACATATGCGCAGTCTCTGTCAACAACGTCCTTCTAATTACCCTACCCGCGCGATAACTATTTTACCTGAGAGAAAGTATTCTGGCAGTCAGAGCTCGCAAAAGCAGCGTTGCGAGTCCCCATGCCTTCCATGGCAGGCTCCAAACCTGTGACCGAACTCCCTCGTTTCTTGCGCCTGACCTGGACCTCCGCCTCGCTCGTCCAGGTAGCGCCGCAGTCCGTCTCTGGGCGACCTTGGGTAATACAAACGTTGAAGACTGCTTCCTTCAAGCCCGTGTCGAGGCCTCGGACAATACATAGCAATGCCGCTCCTAGCTTGACCGGGAAGCACCCTTCTCCATCACGGAAGAGACCCCGGACGGACGTTCAACCACTCCCTCGAGATTCAGCTCCCATACGACACAATGGGGTTTATGCCGCTACATTTAAACCTGCACGTCGGGCGTTCTCGACGACGCCTGTGCACCATAAAGCCCACCACTTTGACACGCTGCGATTTGTGCAGAGATTGAAAGACGAAGGCTTCACAGAAGAGCAGGCGGTGGCCATGATGCGTGTCCTCAACGACGTGATAGAAGAGTCGATTCAGAACCTTACTCGAACCATGGTGCTGAAGGAAGATGCGGAGAGAAGCACATATACGCAGAAGGTCGATTTTGCCAAATTGAGGAGTGAATTGTCCAACGCAGATAGCACCGAAGCACAATTAACACGATCGAGTCATGACCGTTTAACCAGCGATCTGGCCAAGTTAAACTCGAGACTACGAGACGAGATCAGCCGGACGCAAGCCAGTGTTCGCCTTGACCTGAACTTGGAAAAGGGGAGGATACGGGAGGAAGCGAACGGACAGCAGATGCGCATCAAGGAGACTGAAGCTCGAATTGAGCAAGAGGTGGCCAGTCTCCGCGAGAGAGTTGAAGCGGTCAAGTTCTCGACCCTTCAGTGGCTCATGTAAGTATTCGATCGGTCCGAAGATTGTCGCGAATTGATGCTAACCAAATACATAGGGGCGTCTGCACAGGTACAGCGGCACTCATTTTGGGTGCCTGGCGTCTGTTGATGTAGGCTCCATCACCATCGCCGCTACATGGTGCGCCGGAGCGGAAAACCAACACCTTTATCGAACACCGCCGCGCAATACGTCCATCGTACCGTTGTCAAGAAGAGTGTCGACACCAGCTTTCTGAGTCGACAGTATATCAAGCTTTGAGAATCTCTGTGTAAAAAGCCCGGGACTTTGGATCTTTCAAAAGCACTAAAGCACTTAGGAGGACGCAGAGAAAGAGAATCCCTTCTCTATGACACGGATCAACATTGTCTTGGATTCGGTCTGTGCCATGATTCGCGCTTTCTCTAGCTCCAGCATCAGTTCAACGCTGCACAATTCTCTTCTCAGGGCTATGCTTTCACAGCACTTGTAACCAGTCAGCCTATGTACGAACAATGACTCATGGTCTTAGAAGCCTGCACTATCAGTTGGGCTATGATCTTCGTGGTCGACTCAATCATTGAATATTTGGATTCAACCAACTTGTGTGGATTATGCTTGAAGCCGAAACGGGTGGTGTAACAAGTATACTAGATATTACCATGGTTGATATGAGGCTGTACACCTGCAATTGGTCTAAGTTTCTGGCTATAAACCGTCCTCTTCTTCTATTGTATATATACCTGGCGCTGGAGGCATGAACCTGGTCATTCATAGGCAACAGCCCTGGGTGCCTGGTTGTCGTCGGTGTGAATGTGACGGCATAGGGATGTCTGGGTCAACTTCGGCAAGTTTCGCGGCCCATGACTTCGTTCTGGCATCCTGGTGTCTGTTGTGTACACATGATCGTGTCACACTGCGTTTGTGCAAACGGAAGCCAGTTCTGCCTGCTTGAATGTCAAAGACTTCTCTGCCTCCGTTATGTGCGCCCTTGTGAAGCGTCACCAACAGCGACAGCGACATTCTCTCTCCAGCTCGCGACGTCTCTGGCGAACACGGGTCTCTCCCTTGTCAAATCATGAGGAAGTCCTTTATTGAACGCATCTTCCCACACCCGCCGGGAAGTGCGAGTTCACTTCCTCAGTATGAGGATGACGTCTCAGTCTCTTCGTCGCGCTCCTCCGACGCAGTCCGCCCTCGCATTCTGCTACGAGATGCAGCAACCCCATCTCCATTGTCCGACCGGCAACGAAAAACTTCTGTGTCCCCGACCTCTCAAAGACCCCAGAAGCTGAGCTCGTCCTTGGTGCACCACAACGATCCCTTCCTCCCGGTCGAGAGAGCTGCCAAATCACTCGAGCGGACCTTTCAGAGCCTCCTCGATGCGCAGTCAGAAGGGCTCGGTGCTAGCGTTGTGAACGCAGACCTGGAAGATTCGTCCTCCGTGGGAAGTCCCACGCCCACTCCATCCATCTCTACGTCTACAAGAACAGGAGCGGATCCAGGACCGCGGACCATACCAATCCGTCAGCCGAAGCCCAAAAAGATCACGCTCCGAGGAGCACGTCGCGGGTTGGAAAAGTCCATGAGGGAATTCGCGGCCCTTAGGGAGTGGGAATTGTCCCTCATCGACCGAGAAGTTGTGGCTAGAGACAACGCCCTGAAACAGGCTTCGGACCTAGGAAACCGGAGACACCTCCTTGAGGATGAGATTCGCAAGATCAAAAATGAAGAAGGACCTGTCGGTCTACGCTCCGAGATTCAGGCCGTGGAACAGGAGATCCAACATCTGGAGACAGCCTTGCTGGAACTCAAGTCCAAGCACAGGATCCTAGTGAATCAGCTCCGCGAGACCGAGAGCTCAAGGGACTCGGAATTGAGCTCTTACATGGAGTCGCTGGCACTGAGCGAGGTTCAGGTCAAATCTTTCCTGCGGAGACCACCGATCCAGCAGAGTCTCAATTCCGGCCATGATCCAGGGATGTACGCCCTGAAGCCAGAGAGGCGGACCCTGCAAATGGCACAGGAGCAGTGGACAAACGAAGTGGAGTTGCTGGGTCAGAGAAAGGCGAGCGCAGAGAGTGAGAGGAATGCTCTGGAAGAAGGATCGAGACTTTGGCGCGACATTGTAAGACGTATTGGCGAGTTTGAACGGGATTTGAAGACGCAGACGCGGGAGCTGTCTCACTCGCAACTCCAGTGGGCCGCCCCGAACGGAGCAGATGGTGCGAAGAGTGTACCGGCGACAACAGCTGAAGAGGCGTCCATCCAATTGGTCCTTACAAAACTCTCTACCCTGATCTCATCTCTCGAGGAAGATCTTGACCTGGCCGAATCCAAGCACTGGAACCTCCTCACCTGCGCAATAGGTGCTGAGCTTGCGGCTTTCCAGCAGGCACGGGATTTGCTCCAGCGGAGCGCCAACCCGTCATCCACCACCGATGGTCAACTGAGTGACGGTGACAGTGTCAACGGATTCAATGATCGCAATCAGCTTGAAGACCATGAGACGACACAGAGTCATGAGTACCCTCCAGATCTACTCCGGGACAATATGCTTCCGCCGGGCAGATTACGGAGTCCAGGCGAAAGCAGCAACCAGAGTCTAGAAGACACATTGCGTCAGTTTGGAAATCCGCTCGATAAAGGCAAGCAGAAGGAAGAGGTCGATCCTCTTGACAGCGTCGAGCTTGACCCTCTCGGCGTTCACTTACGGCCACAGCCTCGAGGCCCACCCTCTTCGGAGCTGGATCCTTTTGCCGGAGAGGCTGATTCCGTCGCGAAACCGACATCCTTACCAATCACAAACGTTCGGCCAAAACCTCCAGACCGGACAATGACGTCTGAGAGCGAGGACGATGAGCCAGGGCCAGAATTTCTGCTTTCTCATTCTTGATGGCCAGGTTATTTGAGAGGGAAAAGGTCAAGAATTGTACGATAAGGGCTTGTTAGTGCTGGTGGCTTGGTGAGCGATGTATCAAATTCAGCCTTGTTCAGCACTTGGCAGCTAAGTTAGCTGTGCCATTGACCAATATGGAACAATATGGAACAATATGAACAATATGTTTCGTGGTCCGTTTCAAACTATCCAGAATTTTTGTTCCTCGTGTGGTTTTTTGTTTTGGTCGGATGGTACACGGGCTCGAAAGTGTCTGGTA